GTTCAAGTTCTTCTCTGCACAAGAGTACTTTGCGACGCTCGCAATGTTTTGTGATGTATCTAATTGTTAACAGAATATTCATTAGATTTTAGTTTGATTATCAATGTATGCTGATTTTTGTAACGTCTGCAGTATTAAAAGAATGCATACCTTCTGAGTTCCTTTCCTGAACCTGAAATGTCCACTGAAACACAAGTATTTAAATAATGTTTTTAAAAATTTGAAAATTGAATTTATATTACCTCATTAAGACGAGCTCTATTGTGAAGGAGAAAAATCATTTAGGACCGTTGGGCGGTAAGCTGAGAGTGAATTGCATAGTTCTTTAAAATTAAATTACAAAATGTTTATTACATTCTGTAATTTAATACTACAACTAAACAACAGAAACATCTAATAACCTAAGTTTCAATGATTTAAGCTTAAAACAGGGCTTTGATATCGATATGACTGTAGGCAGTCACGAAGCTAATGGTGAAACTGGTATTGTATCTAGGAAATTCTGTTTAATATATGTATTGTTTTTAATTTTAGACTTCGAATACTATTGGCTTTTTCTTTTACCACCTTGCGAAGAATCCAGATAAACAGCAAATCTTGTATGAAGAAATAAAGAAATTGCTTCCGAATAAAAATGACAAAATAACTCCGGCTATCTTTGGCGAACTCCGATATCTGAAATCGTGCTTGAAGGAAGCTATCAGGTTAGTAATCTGTATGCATAATAATTTTATAATTACTGCATTAAAATAGTAAGAGCAGAATTCTTATATTTATTGTGCTGTTTTCCATACTATGAAACGATAGACGGGTACTCACGGTTTCAGATTATTATAGTCTTCCGTGGAAGTGGTTACCTTTAAGAAGAGATCAGTCTTTGTTTAGGCTCTGAGAAACACTGGTCCGTTTTGAAAGTTATCATCGCACTTTTTACAGTATATTGTAACCTTCGACTTCCCTTGACACGAGACACGATGAAAGAGTAATACGTCAGATTGAAAATAGATTTGGAATAACAGCAATTAGGCTGAGTAGCGATGTTGCATTTATACAGATGTCTTGAGTAGATCTGTGATCTTTATTAGTACTAGAATCAATTCAGTAGTTTTCTGAAATGTTTGCTGATGTGATTTTGATTCCTTTAACTTTTGAAATACTCAGTTAATAAATTCTCAATTACAAATCATCTTTTGTTCGCTTGATATTATTTGGTTCACTTTATGAAGATAATATTTCAACTAAATTGGGAAATTGGGAAATCTGTAAGCATAAAAACACTCTGTTATGCGATATTTTTTAGCAATTTCTGTATTGCTTTAAAATTAGACTCAAATGTTTTTATCTTGGAAATTATTTTTAAGTTTCAATGACAACGTGTTAAAATGCTTTAGTAACTTTGTGGATTGAACAACATATTATTTACGTACTCATGAGCTCCTTCAGAACAATCAACCGTAAATTCAACCGTAAATTATTTCATTCTGTCAATAAATGCGCCTTTAACTCAACACTAGATAAAACGGAACAGCCGGTGATAGCAAGAAAGAAAAATTTATAATTAAAATAACAAAATTCATTGTGGGGGAAGGAAACCAGCCTGTGTTATATTTTTTCTTTTGTGAATATGTTTTTGCCAGTTTCCCCAATTTTGTTCATAGGACAAGAAAACAAGGAATTGGCGCATATATCTGTTATCTAATTATTGTAAGGAACCATTGCCTTGCAATTCATTTTAGGAAAGTTTTAGTTCATAAAACTCAATAGACGTTAACTCCTGACACAATAAGTAAAGCCTTCATACGGCAAAGCCACGAAGGCTATATGCCTAAGAGGAGGGATGCCTTCGTGGAAGCTATTTTTAGCGAAACTGAGCTCCTACTTATATGACACATGAGAAAATCTATGAAAACCAACCACGCAAACGCCTGGGTTTGAACCTAAACCAGGTCAAACTACTAGTAATCAGCAGTCTTAAATACTGTGCGATTGGTAGTTGTAGTAACAAAGGGAATGCGTGATTCATCCAACCACGATTGTGTATGAAACACCATTTTCTTCACGGCATTAACGAAGGTTTTGTAATCAATTCGGCTTCCAGTCGCATTTTAATTTCATAGCGCTGTTATTCGAATGTGTTTTTCTTTGTGAGAAGTATACCTTTCTTGAAGAAACCGAATAGTTGCTTGTTCCTAGTGTTAGAGATCAGAAGTTTAAAAATCCATTGCAATATCAGTAATGATAAAATTTGATTTTATAATTTGGTTTATTTAATTACGGTAAAGCACTCGAAGGCTATCTCTCTAAGGGAATAGATGCCTTCATGGAGGAATTTCGATGGGAAACTGGCTCGTATACACGTTACACATAGGGAAAACCACAAAACGTCCATACAGTCAGCCCATTCACCGGGATTCGAACTCTGAACCGGTTTTATAGAGGCAAATATTACCAGGGAAAAAATAAAGCAAACTGGTGCACTTGCTTAAAGAAAATACTGTGTAACGGAAATGGAGCCAAGTAGTACGGCTTTGGCTTTAATGGAAAAGTACCAAACACATTTTACATTGAACTGCATAATTCAAAAGTCAACATTTTTACTGACATAAGGCTAGAGATGACTGATACACAGAATCGCACTACTAGAGCATTAAAACAATTACAGAGAAAGTTGTGGTACAGAATTCGGTCAACATAATAGCGAATAGTTTTGTCTCATGCTAAAACACATAGGTCCGGCAAGGCGATGAATAGGCAAGGCAATGCCTGTTGTAGTGTAGCAGATGGGCCCATATTTGTGGGGAAGGGTGTGTTCCATATTCTGGATATTGCAGTGCAACTTCAACTGGCGCTTTGGTCGGACGCATGCTCGATAGCCAGCAGGCATATCCGGGCAGCAGGTTATAGACGTGTGGTAACATGAGATAGAAAATTTTATACAAGCTCAGCTCATGTTCTGCTGCATTATCTTATCGAAATACTGCATCTGGAATCACCGTCAGGAATGAGAGCATCTGCGGCCATAGCATTTCATCCAGATATCGACGACAGTCAGAAATTCACGTAATCATTAATAGAGAGGATCGGCTAACATAGATTGTATTTCTCCTGATTTTAATGACTGTAGTTGGAGTAGCGTATCCCGATAGTGAGATGAGGATTGTGCCGTTGACCAGGGGCTTCCAAACCCAGAAACTATTATTATTTGTTCCCAAAACGAAGCGGTAACCATCACTAAGCATAACACATCGGCATCGTAGCATTCTATGCTGTTATGGGCTGGCGTCGCTGCAAAATGAATTATTCATGTTTCGACGTGGACAGCATACGTAAGCGAGGTATCCGAAAATTACTCATTGGCGTATAACCAATACGGCTACACGGGCTTGTGATTAGCACATAACCAATATGGGAGGTCTGCGGAATTTATAACATACTTGATTTGCGTGATCCTATAAAACTTTTATTGGTGTTCTTCTTGGTTCTTTCGGAGCCGGTCCGTTATAAATGCAATTACATGTCTCTACTTCCCAAACATTAGACAGTATAGTCAGAATAATGAGAAAGGCGGAAAACTTTGCAATTTTCAGCCATATAAAATTACAGTTCTCACGAAATTCGTTAGTTGCGCAAATCGACATCTCTGACTTAAATTCATCATTTTCAATTTTTTTTTCTCGCATTACGTTTGGTATTTATAGATGCCACTTATAGGCTAGATTATGCAACTGCTAGTTCGTGCTTTTAGCTCTATTGCAGCCTATTTGGTCAAGAGCAATTGCACTAAACTTGGATCATTGCTTTATCAGCTTACATTCTGTTTTCATTCTAGACTCATTTTTATAGCATTCCTTCTTAGCGCATTAATTTCATTTTTAGCAAGTGTATTATAATGTATTCAGTTTAAACTATGAAGTAAACTGATATAATTGAAGAATTACAGGTATAAATTCGTAAATTTTCCCCGGTATAAGATTTTTAAAATCAGTAGTTTAAGTTATTAATAAGCCAAATTGTTAAGAAATTAAATATCCAGAAAAGAGTAATTGTTTAAATTTATTTTAGGTTAGATCCCATAGTGAGAGGAAACGCACGAACTTTGGATCATGATGTTGTTATATGTGGATACAGAATTCCAGCCAATGTAAGTATTTCTCGAGTTTTGCATTTACTTTGGAGAAATCTTGTACAAAATGTTACATTTTAGAACAGTTTAAGGAAAATTAACGGAAGTATAAAATTTATATTATTTTAATTAGTTTTAGGAAGAATCTTTGTATGAAAACGTCATTTAAATAGCTAAAGAACATGTGAGGTGTTTCTTTTATTGATTTTAATCTTAAAATATATTTAGTTTTAGAGTAACGCTAATTAAAATACATAGAAATAAACAGTTCAGTAGTATTGTAAAAAGGAAAATATTCAATCTCCCCCCCTATTCTACACCTCACAACTATTTTACAAGACTAAATTCGATTTTTTATGAGTTGATAATGTATGAATATTATTTAACTATTACATATGGTGAAACGACTCGTTTTTATAACTTAGGTATATAGTGCGCTTTAAAAATCTTAGATCTGAATTTAAAATCATTGGCGTTTAAAGAAAATCAACTTTATTACCATTTAGCTTTCTGCACATGTTGTTTATAACTCTTTGTTTTTTTAATATAGTCATAAAACTCCTGAATGCTTTCATTTTCGTGTTTCTGTTTTATTCTGTGATCAAAATTTTCTAAATTTTTGACAAGCTATTAAACATTCAGAACGTATGAAATCTGCAGTCTGTATGAAAACAAGCTGTTTTGAAAGATGCTATGACATTTATCGACTTTTGGCTAATTTTCAATCGAAGATTTTTATTTAAAGAACCGAAAGTAGTCCATAATGGAGCGTTCATACGACGCTTTTCGGATATATAAGTTGAGTTACTAAGTCGAGCGTTGTGGCTAGGTAACCAGACCTTGCTACGTCATATAATCTAGTATAAAGATTTCATGTAAATATTATAACTTATCAATTTTATGCCAACCTACTATACGAACCGACCAATCACAACAAAGGAAATACGACTGACATTCGATCGCCGATTTCGTTGAATCAGCTGCACATACATGAATGCATAACTATATCTTCCCTACTGGTTATTGCTTAACTCTGTATTAACTCTGTTTCACAGGTGTGATCTGCTTTTACGTCTTAGTACTGGGAAAATAATAAAGACTAGTCCATCATGTAAATGCTCTCTTAGATGATAAAAAAATTAATGAGCAGGAAAAGATTATAAGAGCTTAATTTTTTATTATACTGAAAACTTTGATAGCAACTGCAATGCACAAAGAAGCAACACAAATATAGATCAAATATTTCTTGGTCTAATGCGATGAATTCTGTTGTAAGGCGGATACGTTACATTTTTTCGTCTCCGAAGAGCTTAGTACAGAAGATCATTCAGTAATGGTAGTTCGACTTGCGCATGAATCCCGGCAAATTAGATGGATGCATAAACATTTTAATGGTTTTTCCAAGGATGACGTGAATATCGATTAGTTTCTTTTATGTATGTTATGTGTATATGCGCTGTTGGAAATCGATATATGTATATAATACTACCCTTACAAAAAGAAACATAATAAGAAGCTAAAAATTAAAAAAAAAAATTTAAACCCATTCTGCTCTATAGTTGCTGGATTGAAGTAAAATAGACTTAAAGCATTTAAAGTTAAAATTAAATTCTAAACAAAGCAAGGCAATTCCTCGACAATATCAATACTTGAAACCGTGCATAAGAGATTTAACACAATATCTAAACAAATCAAATTTAAAATAAGAATTCATAGTAGAGTGAACTCGAAAAAAAAAAAAAAAAGGGGCGAAAGGAAAAATACGCAAAATTATAAAAATATAAAAATTAATATCCTTTTACTGAGACTCTAATTCAGAACTCATCGGGGGGAAATGAATTAAAGCTTAATAAAATTCGATTAATATGTTTCGAAAACATGTTTCGTTCTTTTGTTTCATTTCAGATCAAAAACCAAAAAAAGATTTAATTAAGTTTTCATTTCAGACATTAATATTCATACAAAACCGAAAAATCTAGTCTAAAATGTACCAGAATTTTCCCTACATGCTTTCGAAACACTTGGAAAAAAGAATGAAACATAACATTGTGCCATATTGACTACTCAAATGAACCATAAAAATTTCATTATGTAAATTGACCATTCCCCCCAAAAAAATTGTTCTAAAACCATACATTCAAATTCGAATTTCAAAAGCATTTACAATTAAAGAACAAGACAAATATATTTTAAATCAAATTGCTATTTAAACAACACAAGAAAAATTGGGTGGTCCGCAATTTTGCTAAACTAAACTTTTAACAAGAAAACGGAAAACTTTTCATAGAGATTTCTCTAAACAATAAAATCTAATCTGGGCCATTAAACAGCTAAAAATTGAAAACTCATTTAAAACAAAAACAAAAACAAACAAACAAACAAACAACAACAACAACAACAAAACAAAAAAAAAAAAAAAAAAAAACGCAAACTTACTGAATTTATCCTTAAGATGACCATCTTAACTTAAACTTACTGAATCCTTAAGAAGACCAAACTCCGTTCCTTGTAGAAGAAAGTAGAAATTCAAAAAGCTACTCTGGAGCCAAATTTCATATAAATGAAATCTGTATTTGGATTGAGTATTAATTGTGACTTATGGCTTCCAATCTAGCAAATAATTTGATGCTTACTCTTAATACTCTCTCTTAAATTTAGTTGTTGTTAATTGATGGCAGATTAGTTATTCCTAAGTCGCTTAATCTGCGATCAATGAATAGCTACATTTTAAAATTTAAAATTTACTTTGGTATAGGGGCGATTAGATTTTTTTAAGAACTTTGAAATTTAAAATAGAATTAAATTCAAATTTTTCATTGAGGTTTTAAATTTAATTTGTGTTCCTTGGAGATGGTATAGAAAGTTTTTATTATAAATATATATATAGATATATATATGGGTAGTATCATTCAAAAATTTTCAGAACAGCTGTTTAGTGATTTTTCTCCATTGACACATGACATATTAACCCATTACCTCGTCACTTTATCCCGTAAAAGGAAAACTGATTCTCCATTAAAAATACGGAGATTTTCAATAAAGAAGTCCCATTTAAGCTGGATGCTGATTCCGTGAAGACGTGCAATCTACAAAGTTTTAGGGAAGGCAGGAAAAAATCCATTGTTCTTACTTATAATGACATAACTGGCAGAAAAAATGTTTGAAACAGTTGTTCATCCCAAACAGAAGTTGTGTGATAGCTTTCCAGCAGAATAAATAAATCAAAGGTTCTTTAACACTTACTCAATTTAAATTTCTGATTTTAAATTAAAAATAATGATAAGTATAACTAATACAATATTTAAAATGAATTATGTTTCCATTTTGAGTTAAATTATTTAGAAAGCTATTAATTATGTTTTGAGAAACTGATGCTCTTTCATAGAAATGGGCATTTCATAGGACAAAAATCTACTAAGAGTATTTGCGTTTTTCATTTTTTGAATGCGCGTCTTAGAATATATATTACAGGGGTTGGACAAAAATATGGAAACACCTTTAAAAAAACATGTTTCTTTGCTTAATATGGTGTAGGAAACCCATTGGCATCCAAAACAGCTTGCATTTTTCGAAGGGATAAATACAGTTCCGTATGTTTGCCAAGGGATATATACCATGGTTCCTGCAAAACGGTGGCAAGTTCAGATAACGATGTTGGCGGTGGATAACGAGAAACGCACTTTCCGTCCGATGCAGACCACAAGGTTCGATAATATTCAGGTTTGGTGACGTGGTGGCCAGGGGAGATGGGACAACTCATCCTCGCTCAGAAAACCAGTCCTGGACTATGTGGCTGTTTGAACAGGGACTTGTCATCTGTAAGACACCATCGGGAACAAAGTGGTACCATGGGATTAACCGATCGGCCAAAATGTTCACAAGTCTTGCAGTCTGGCCGGACACAGCATGGGATAGCAGAGAACCACGATATGGCTGCCCAAACCATAACAGAACCCCCGCCATGTTTCACTTTGGCAACAAGCGTCTGTATATAGGCTGAGATGGCGTTCTCCAGGACGTAAACTCGGCCAGAAGGGGAAACAATGTGAAAGAAGATTCGGTCAGACCATATTACTCGTTCCACGCTATAGTCCAGACTTTATGACAAACACCACCTTTCCTGTACGAGCATTAGCATGACTGATGAGTGGCTTCTCAAGTGCAGCAGGCAGCAATTCCCTGTTATGAAGCGCCTTTCTAATTGTTTTGGTACTCACAGGGTTCGGTAACACAACATTCATTTCAGCAGTAACTTTGCAGCTGTGGTATCTTATTTTTCGTCACAATTGCCCTTAATGATGTCTGTCACGATCACTCAGGACACACTTTCGTCCGCTCTGTGATTTAGCAGATGATGTTTCTCCGCTTTCAAATATGCGGAATAAATCGTCGATACAGTACCTCTTGAAACACTAAACCCCTCGGCTACCTTGCTTACGGAAGCACCTACCATACGTGCTCCAACGGTTTCCCACGTTCAAAGTCGGTTAACTCTGAAATAATGCAATGACAACCTCACAAACAGTACTCCGACAACAACTGAACTGTTTCGCACATTTACGAAGTGTATAGGTGACGTCAGTAGTCAAAAACGCCAGCGCCACCGACATTTCATTAAAATCAATCTTGTTTCCAAAAGGTATTTCACAAGGTGTTCCGTTTTTGTCCTCCACTTAGATAATAAATAGCACGCTAATAAGATATTTCGTACAAACAAAAATCGGACTTTTTATGAAATAACATGCCAAATTTTTCCCATACTTCAATTCTACGACTCAAATTATGACAAACTGCCAAAAATTTTAGCTCCTCAACGTTAATTGAATTTGATATATAATAATTCATATCTCTTTTTTATTAAGCTCATTTGATTCTTCCTTTCAAAGTTCGAAATTTCTTTTCATTCTAAATAAAAGTCTCCCATCTTTTATGATTTTTTTTTAAATTGTATTTTAAAATAATTTTATAATTTTCGAAAAACTTTTGAATTAAACCTACAAAATTCTTGCCATCATCTTAAAGTAGAGTATTTCTAAGCATACCTGCAAAAAATTAGAGGTTTTTATTGAGAATTTCCTAAGACATTCGTAAATTTACATTGTGGCGCGTTTTGAAATTTGGTGTATTTATTATAAGCCATAATAACGAAAATGTGGTTTAACGAAATGCGATGGACTTTTTTTTCCGCTCGTGCATCAATGGAAAAAAAAAAAAAAAAAAAAAAACAGGAAAGTAAATAGGTTACTATAAATTACGAATTCCGCCAAGTGAATTATTTTTGGCGCAAACTGAAAATATGCGCCAAGATAAATTTTTAAATTTCTCCGTAAATTCCTCACCAAAAATTATAGAATTTAATATCTATGCATGATTTGAGTCGTAGAATCCAAATATGAAAAAAATGGGCATGCCATTTCACAAAAAGCTCAATTTTGTGTCAAAATACCTATGTTAAAAAAATGCTACATAGAAATCTAATATGTATTCTAATCTTCTAGGCGTTCTTTCGAGACATGGAAAGCGCAGTTTTAATTTTGTCAATCAACCCAGTAGAACGGTAGATATAAAATTGTTCCCGTTCTTTTTTTTTTTTTTTTTTTTGGCCTAGTGTACGATCCTGAAATATGCATATTTAAATCAATATCATCTTACATATTGTGTATGCCATTGTGAAACTTGTGTTTATGCTAGCAGAACATAATGCTGTGTTTGAATTTAGATTGAAGTTATCCTTTTACATTTGATCACTTCGTAATATTAAGGTGCGAGTCCGATGTGATTTTGAACACTCAGCCTTCTCATCTGGAGTCTGAACTTTAGCAACTTCTGCCATTTAATAACAGTACGATCATTAATTTGTAATAGTTAAAATTCAACACAGCAGAATCCATCTTTTGTGACACATCTCTAAATTGCTTAAGACTCTATATACCTTCCATTTTTCGACTAATGTTTTCCATTTTTTTTCATAAGATATGCCTTCATAGAATGCGTGCCACTGAAACGTTGATACAACACTGTTATATGACTTTTATGCAAAATGATATTATAAAGTAGATATGATATTGTTTGCAGGACCAATAGGATAAAGACCTAGAGGCATACTTAATGGCTGTTTATCAGTCTCCAGTCACATATAAACGTTTCGTGCATGTACATCCAGACTTGGTTAGCCAGGTTTTGCCATCAGAAGTTCCATCTACTTTATAATATGCATAGATCCGATGGCCGAAAACAATATCGGTGTCTGATATTACTATTGATACTGTAGCAAAAAAAATTTTAATGCCATTGAATTACTCGTTTTGGTGTTCTTGACCAAATAACAACAGACAATGTTGCAGCAATTTCAATTTAACCTCTTTGCCTTAAACTAGCTCTTGTTTGATTAGTTTTCATTTGTAACGTGAATACGAGCCAGTTTGCCTTAGAAAGTCCTCCACTAAAGCATCCCTGCCTTCTAAGCAAATAGCTTTCATGTTCAGTGTTATGTTTAAGGTAACCGTATAAGGTATTTCTCCCGCCTTCTTAGCATGCCTTCGTGGTATGGTAGTCTGCACCCTGGGCGCGTATTCCAGAGGTCCGTGTTTCGATTCCCGGCGGAGGTGTTATTCATTTTTCAATCGCTCTTGCTTCTAAAAAAATTCTAATGTATCTACAGTGGCACCCTGAACTATAAAAAGGGTGGTGGATGATGAATCTCGCCACCCAGGATTTGGCGATTGGGTCCCCTAAAAACCCCAGTCGCCCTTTAAAAGGAGGAGTATATGAGGTATTTCTCCTTCCTTGTTAGTATGCCTTCGTGTTGGTGTGGTGATTTGCACGCTGGGCGGTATTGCAAAGGTCCGCAGTTCGACTCCCGGCGAAGGCGTTGTTCATTTTTCATCTCTCCTGCTTCCAAAAAATACCTAATGTCTCTACAACCGAACCTAACTTAACCTACATCCGCGGCAATCATAATGGACAAATAATGTGGCAGCTCTATTGTACCCGTTGTTACTTCAGTAGGCAGGTGTTACCACTACTACTTCAGTCGACAGGCAACCCAGTCGACGCAACGGATACGTACCGTGAACTTGCATCATACGCTCATAATGATGATACCATTATTAGACTAATATTATGTGATGCATATACCATTTTTAAATATTGCTACTTTAATGAATTCATTTTATGTGTTGTGTATATGATTGTAAAATATGTTTTGTGTTAGAAAAAGTTATTGTGGTGTTCAAATTGAAGGGGCAGTCATCATTTAGCATTTGATTACATCAAATCGGTAACACTAAAATATATACTTTAACAACTTGAGTTTAATCGAGACAATAACCGTTTAAGGATGTAAATGTGTTAGAATACTACGCTTTCCATAAACTACATAATAATGTCGTGAAATTTTAACGGAATAAAATATGACATTTCTTCTCAAAAAATTTTAAAAGCTGTAAAGAGTCTAAAAATCGGAAGAGTATTTGCATTTGAATTTAGAAAGTATTTACATTTGAATTTGTATATGCTGTAGTAATAAATAAAGTAATTGGACTTAGATTTTATTCACAGCGTGATAGAACGCTCTTGTGCAACAGTGTCTGACAATGTAAACTTCAATCATATCGTGCAGTGACATTTTTTAAAATTTGTGTTTTAAATTCTGTAAGGAAAATTGTATAGAACGAGCACGTGTAGAGCACGTGTGGGACATGCTTTGCGGACGAGTTGCAGCCCGTCAAGCTCCTCCTACATGTCTACCGGAACTTCAGAGAGCATTGCTTTGGTGTAATATCTCCTAAGATCAGATCGATAATTTGATACTCAGCATGTCTAGGAGTTGTACGGACTGTATTGCATCGTCTGGGAGACATACAATTTATTAACAGTCATACCAGCGATGTAATATTTGTTTTTTGTAAATACTGTTTTTTTTTTTTTTTTTTTTGTAATTTGCTCCAGGGAGAAAAATCACTAATTTTTTAAAATATCAACTACATCTTTTTTTTTTGCTCTTTACTATGTTTAATAAATAAGCTTACAAATAAGTCAAATTTTTTGCTTCTATCTCCTCTTTGCCTGATTTGCATTATCCTTAATTCTGGACTGCGTGTAATATGCCTTTCTTTCAATAAAAATTTACGATGAAAGATGTGCGTATATTAAAGTCTAGTTCATTGTATAGAATTATTCTTACTAAGAAAAATCAGTTTATGTGCATATGAAAAGAAACATCGCTCTCTGATGAAATTAATTACATTAAAATTGTACATAACCGAAAAAATATTTTTTTGTTTCTTTCAGACTATGATATTCTGTATTTTACATGTGATATATAGAGACGAAAAGTACTTCAAGGATGCTGATCAGTACAAACCGGAACGTTGGTTGAACAAAGAGGAGAAGCTGACTAATCCATATGCTTTTCTTCCCTTTGGAACTGGTGTAAGAAGCTGCATTGGTAGAAGACTAGCTGAACTGGAAATGATTTGTATTGCCACAGAGGTGAGACTAGTAATGTATATCTATAAATTCTTTCCAATTTTATTAAAAGGAGAAATACTACAGAAACCTTTTATATTCCCGTACATTACAGTTGGAAGTGCATCTGTAGAGTAATACAGCATGTGAAAGAAATATGGTACTGCACGGTATTAAGCAAATGTGTCCTTAAGCATTTTATTATGAATAAGAATTACAATTAATGCAAAGCTGAAAATATCTTATGATTTGCAGTCCTTGTCCCTATTATTATGAACGTTGTTTATTTACTTACAATGTCCCTTTTCCTAATAAAATCAACTCCGTCCCAACGAAAAGGGACAATTACTAAGTAAACATTATTCGTTTGAAATGCTGGTATCCTGCTGGGCCTTATCCTGTTGAATAATACTATAACTCCGGGATAATATATAATATATTATTTTGGAGAATCTCGAAAGGAAAGGCAACACATTGGGGCGTATAATGTTGTCGGCGTATCACCGTGCTGTAAGAACGCCAGTTTCAACCAAAGGCGGGCATCTATTAAATGGAATGGTATTTCAGGCTGCAACTCTGTTGTTGAGCTATGTGACGGCGGCACTCAGGTATCCTATCGATCTTTTGGATGGACTAACGAAGATGTATCTATTCGCGGTCTTTGTAACTCACTTCGAAGTGGGATTCGTTGCTGAAGACAATTCTAATCCAGTCAGTCAAATTCTCCATCTATCGAGCTCAACATCACTATAAACGTACTTAGTTAGCTTGCACAGATGTCGGCTCAATGGGCATTTTAACTCAGACCCCATCCTCTGAGTCGCCTATCAATGGTTGAGATCATTATATCCTGATTGCAGGTCAAATCTATGATTCTGATAAACCAGACGTCGGCAGCCGCTCTAATCTGTCGCTTCGTCCTCACGTTCTGTCATCTCCCTAGAGCTTGATTGATTGTTACCTTCTTGACAATTTGTTTTGTACGATTCAACCATTTCGGCCAACATTGTCGAATAGCTGCGTCTCTCCCATCTAAATGTCGAGAGAGGCTTTGCTTTGATCACCCAATGTCTTATAGTCTACACGTTCTCTCTGAATTAGTAATATATCTGCACACTGCGTTGGAAACCATTTGCTAGGTATTCATACAGTCGAAGCGAGTAGACGAAATAAAATTCGAATACATTTTTATGCCCTTTATTTCGAAATTCTTTTCTTCTTTAATCAACCTGGACGCTCAGTTACGATGCTCTGCAGCCACAATTACCCATTCCATTTGCCCCAAAATTGAATCATTTGCATGTTGAACCGAAATATATTCACATATAAAATTTCGTCACAATTGAATTATTCTTTTTGATACGCAATTTTTTTTTTGATTGAAGGCGGATGTAGAACATAAAAAGAAATGCTTGCGTGTTTTTGGAATATGTAACATAAATAGTAGGGATTACGTAATAGGCCTTATGTTAACTAGCTGGTCTTAAAATTATTCACAAAATTATTAGCTATTGATTGAAATTTTAATTCTTTTATTTAGGAATATTTATGCTTCAAGACATATCTAAAACTCAATTGCATATTTACTGATTTATATTTTATGCTACCCTATATAATGACTTGATGCTTTGCTTTTTACAGATAATAAGAAACTTTAAAGTAGAATATCACTATGAAGATATTGACATGTATACGAGAATGGTCAATTGTCCAGACAGGCCACTGAAGTTTACTTTTATAGAAAGATGAAGGATATCTTGGACATTTCTTGAGTGTAAAAGAAGTATTTGAGAGTATACTAGACTGTCTTGAATTATTCACTAATAATAAATTTTCTTTCTTTGTACTTTAATATACAGATAACAAATTCCAAGTACTGACTATTGTTCTTCATACCAGCTCACTGATATAAATAAATCTGCGTATATTGTTATTAATAAAAGAATTCTTACTCTATCATAAATATAATAATGAATATTATATTTTATATAATATTGTTCGAAAGAAGATCTATGCTTGTTTAAATTATTTCTGTAAAACACGTGAAGACTATCTGCCCAGGCGCAAAGAATGCTTTTGCGGTTGTTAACTGTTAGTTATTCCCAATACATATTACGAAAACCATGAAAAGTTTATTCAGTCAGCCTGTTCGCTGGTATCTGAAGTTGGGTCGAACTACCAGGGCTCAACTGTCTTATACACTGGGTTGCTGGTGATTCTGCGAAACATCAAAAGAAATTTTTTTAAAGATAATTTTAGAAGTTTGTTCTTTATATTCAGCTAACTATTATAATTATGAGAAATACTCAAAATTTCTTGTATATGAAGTATCGCATTTGAAACTGATTACTTTATTTCTTTCTTTGTCATGACGTATACATGATAAAAATTTTCTTTTTCATTTAATGTATACTTGTTTTCATTGGCATAAGGGTGAGTAAATGTACTTGTTATCTCTTTAAAATATTTTCCCTTATTTTGCTGCATTCATTAGAAAATGTTTTTTATGTCATTATTATTTACCAACGCACTTTGAAAGTTTAAAAAAAACATTCCAAATGGTTTTCATACTTCGCTAAATTTTTTATTTTATAACAATTTTCATATTTGTGCTTTGCTCTGGTACGTTAAAAAAGAACTAAATTTTATGATTCTCATTTTAAAGCTTTCAATCGTAAAGTCATTTATTAGGTTATTATTAAGTAGACAAAAGATTAGACAAAGCTCCATGATTTCTCGTTGATGTACAATGACGGGAAAAGTATCAATGCGAATATATCGTGCATAAACAATTTTTATGGTAATTTATTTTATACTAGCAGAAGTAACCAAATGCCAGTTAAGTTAGATTGAGAATAATGTATCTAACAACAGAGAGAACGATATCGCTCTAATCCTTCTCTAATTACGATTCATAGTCAAGTATTTTTCAGTCTGATGCAGTATGAAACCAACATAAAAAATTTCGATAGAAAAATAAGCTGATTCTCTCCATTATATCAGTAAAAATGGCACGCAGTTTTTAATGATTTTCGTCTTTCTAATCAAATGGTCGTAAAAGCTCAAGTTCCATCCAATATTTCACCTATATTCAATTTTAGTCAATTAAATGTTGCAAAAAATTTATCATAATTGATCAGAAATCAAGAATGCGAACAAACAAATACACAAACAGACATGTTTAGATATGTATAGATTTTGTAAAATTTACAAGTTTTTAGATTAACAAATTCTACGATTTGAAAGCGAGCAGTAGCAACACTTTTCAAAGTAAAGCATATTTATCTTCAACGCGAGACTGTTGCCACTCGGAAAAATGAGTGCGAAAGTTAGCCGTTTTCAGAGTTTTAAATTAATATTTCGTCTGATTACGTCATACGAAGTCATACGAAGATGGGAATTGTCGAAATGGCTTCACACGAATTTTTGGAATCGTGAATTATGTATTTAATGTTTGGCAATGCTATTTTTATTTCATTCTAAGGCTTAGAATTTTTTTATTAACAAACTGTAGGATTTAGAAGCGAGCAGTGGAAGAACTTTCGAAATAAAGCAGATTTTCCAACTCCTTGAGATTTTCATTTCCATCTTGCGAGACTGTTGCCACTCGGAAAAATGAAGGCGAAAATTATCGTTTTTCTAAGTTTTTAATTAATATCTCTGATTTTAAGTATTTTTTTGGGAAGTAGACGTCGACCTGTTCCAGGATCCAGAAAGGAATTGTAGAAAGTTTGGTGACGATAGCTATAGTAGCGACTGAGTTATTAGAGGACAACCAAACACACAGACTTTCTTTTTTTGTATATATAGATTAGTTATCTTACAACTTTCTTGTAATATTTATCAAAACAAAAACACCCAAAAAAAATTCATTCGCTCTTAAAGCTAGCGATATTTTCTGTAAATATGATAGAGTAAGATAATATTTGACAAGACAATCTTCGTATGTAACACAACATTTGTTAAAGCAGCAAAAATGCTTAAGCTTGTAATAATAAAATATACATATATTTAAAAGTTATGAAATTTCTCATATGCAGAAATTTTTTATAACAACCATTAATTACGTGATTTACCGCTTATTTGCACTTGCTTATCAAGTTGCTTGAGTGAATCTTTACTTTTGTGAAACTGAGCACCAAAGCAAGTGAAATGCCAGATGAAATCTCACTATAAAATAAATAAAAATAAAAAATCACAACATGATGTAATAAGTATTATAAATAATTTATGATACTATGCAGTATAGTGTAAATAAGTTTGAAAAGAGTGTAAAAAATAAGTATTAATCCGGGAGGTTATCGTAGTTAACGGAGAGAGAGAGACGAACGCTTCATTTCCAAGAAAATAAACTGAAACATTTTGTAAACTTTTCTTTGATTGTGTCAAAACTTCAGGAAGCGCTACTAGAAAATAAGTTCCTTCTGAAGCTGCTAGAAATTTTATAAACAAATTTGGATGTTTCGCCCGAGTACCTGATCTCAAAGTAGATACAATTCAAGATTATATTAAAAAACTTGCCAGAAATTTCTTCTATTCAGTTCTCACTCACCCTAACAACTGCATCAACTCTCTTAGATGTCCTCCATTTCCCAGAGGAAACACAAATATCCATCTGACATTCTCCATCCTTAACATTATTTCTCCATCCTTAACATTAACATCCTTAACATTATTATTATTAACTCATATTAGATTCTTCAGTTCACTGATTTGGACCTTCGACCAGAAATTCACCTTATTCGTCGACTGATGGCTGGCCACTTAACTTTTACTTTCGTCTTTTTGTTGTACTGACGTTCTTCACGTGATACAGAGTATAAGGAGGCGCTGCTTTCTGAAACTCAAATTCACTATATGTTCTTAGTAGTAGTAAAGGAAAACTGATTATAAGGAAAACTGATTATAAGTAAAACTAACGAAGAGAAGAGATTAAAATTTTTAAAAGAATTCATTAACAAGCCTAAATAACTTTAGTATCAAGTGATTTTTCGCATGAAAGTAATTTTAATATTTGGCAGTTAGAAAGACACAAAATAATATGGGGAAAATTTGGCAAAGCGATCAAGAAGAAAGTTGCACAAGTTAAGGCAAAACACGAAGATGGAAATATAGTGGTGGTTGTGGGGGGTTCATCGGCTGACAGCATTGTTGGAAACTTGCATATAATTGTTGGCATTTTGAATTAATATGGTTAACTAAACATTTTAAAAACCAATATGAAATAAAATAATCAAACAAATGGACTTTCTGCAAATTTTTTCTGTCAACCGGAATTCCAAATGTAAAACTCGAACAATGAAGAAATGATTGTTCTGCACTACGCCATATATTCTGTAAACTTCACCAGAGTCACCGGACGTAACCCACACAAATGTAATTCAGAAGAAATGAAGAGCAAACTCCATAAGTGCTCAGTATAATATAAACACGACCTTAAGCATCCTATAATACCAGAGCAGGGGCAAATTCTCGAAAAAGAGTGCTTGAATTTAGTAAATTCAATTGCTAAACGTCTTCAAGATTCCACTAGCGCAAAAGAATATTGTACAAAGTATTAAAAAAAAGTCTTTTGTTTTTGTTTTTAGTAATAACGTAAAAGTATGTGTATGAATACGTGTATGCATTGATTTTTCCCCCTATGTGGAAAATTAGCTTTTAATTTCCTTTGTTTATGTTAATTGTATTAAATATATACTGACATATATTTCATTGATGAATTCATTCGTTTAAATGTATATAAGCATCTGAAAATGAAAGAAAAAGTATAGCGAATGAAAAATATTCCCTTTAAAAATTTTGCATAGAAACATACAATTAAGTTTTAATTTGCTAAATAAAGCTCGGGAGCTCAGGATTGTAGAGATTATGAGTATTAAAGTTTATCCGAAAAGCTTTTTCAAGTTTAGATTTCTACTAAAGTATAATTCTGAACATTTGAAAATTATTACTAAAGCTTTGGTTGAAATCTCGTATAAAGAACTACCATAACCGTTCTACGAAAGACTAACAAGCTATTCTGAAATTTGAACAACGGCCGGCGGAAATAGCCGTGAACAGTTAATGCACTCAAAATAGAGCCCCGCAGTATATTTCACTGATAGCAACGTATCGTGTCAAAGTTTGTTTTCAATCTATGAAATATAGTTCAGAAAAATCTAAAATAGAGAATGACACAATTATACAAATCGTATTTAATGTATGGGTAAAATATTTTTATAATAAAATTGAATTTTACTGAGTATCACGTTAATTACGATTCGAAAGTTAAAAATTCTAAGATTTATAATGTGCTGTTCTACTGCGTATCGATGGTGTATTGGTTAATTTCGAAATTTCAAATTATGTCGCCTCTCCCCATTTTGAAATGGATATGAAAATTATATATGAAATTAAATAATATGAAAATTAAACAGCGAATGCATTAATGATCACTTCTTTAATTCTATAATTTACGTTTGTTACAGTGTTAGTTATTCTGTTTTGTAGCGTAAAAATAAAAAATCTATAAATCTTGAACATATTTTTAAAATGCGAAATTTTATAGACGCTAGACACTAGAACAACATAGACCAGTATATTAGACACTAGAAATTCAGCTTTCTAAAGGTCAGTTAACGAATAGTATCTCTGAAAAATTTCGAGATGAAGAAAAATCTGAAGTCATAATCAAGTTTCCTCTAACATAAGCTGTGAGCTGCTGCTATTCAGAAGCGTTTTTAACTTTCGGCTCAAAATGGACTACAGAGCCTTTGTGAGTAGAAATGTGGACTGTTACAATACAGATATGGAATGCTTTATGTAGAATGCTACACATAAAGCTTTCATATGATGACCCAAATAATGCACTGCGCAATTAATTTTAGTTTTAACCTGCGCATCTGTAAGAATACTTTGTGAAGACACTGGTTAGAATCTATTTAGATGAATTTAAAATGTACATCATGGTTAACAAAAATCAGATTATAATTTTTTCAAGGTATGTAATATAAATATCCTGCAGTGATGCATTTTAAGAGTTCTTTTTCTAAATATCTTAACAGAAATAAACTGCGCTTATTTAAAAGTTAGTTATCTCTCAGTACTAGGTTTAATTGACACCATGATTTACTAATCGTGCAACAAACCAATAATACTATATTTCTGAAACATTATTTTAAAAATTCGAATTAAACATAATTAAAAATCCTTTGTTATAGGATATTTATTATTGGTACTATAATATAGTATTATTGGTACTATATTTCTGAAACATTATTTTAAAAATTCGAATTAAAATATCCTATAACAGAGGACTTTTTAATTATGTTTAATTCGAATTTTTAAAATAATGTTTCAGAAATATTGTATTATTGGTTTGTTGCACGATTAGTAAATCATGGTGTCAAATTCACAACTGGG